GGGCTCGATCCCAGGACCCTGGGACCATGACCTGGCCTCCAGACCCCGAGCTGTGGCCACCCTCCCAGCCCCGTGGAGTCTGACCAGCGGGCCCTCCTCCCTCCCGCCACAGGCCCGTTCTTCCGCTACCGCACGTACCTGGACTGGCTGGAGCAGCCGTTCCCGGGGGCCGTGCCCAGCCTGCGGCCCCTCCTGCGCCGGGCCTGGCCCGCCCCGCTCTTCGGGCTGCTCTTCCTGCTGTCCTCACACCTCTTCCCGCTGGAGGCCGTGCGCGAGGACGCCTTCTACGCCCGCCCGCTGCCCGCCCGCCTCTTCTACATGGTCCCCGTCTTCTTCGCCTTCCGCATGCGCTTCTACGTGGCCTGGATTGCCGCCGAGTGCGGCTGCATTGCTGCCGGCTTCGGGGCCTACCCCGTGGCCGCCAAAGCCCGGGCCGGGGGCGGCCCCACTCTCCAATGCCCACCCCCCAGCAGGTCAGGCAGCGGGAGGGAGGCTTCCCAAGACCCGGCAGGCCCCATCACCACTGGCTGGGCCTGCCCCTAGCAGGGGGGGGGGGGGGGGGGGGGGGGGGGGGGCGGGGTCACCACCGGTTGTCAGTGCAGTGTTGCCCCTTGGCCACCACAGCCCCCCCTACCCCTGTCCTAGGGAGCGGCCCTCCCGGGTCTCCCACTGCCTCTCGTGCTACTGCTTGTCACCTCTTGGGATGGCGGACCGCTCTCTGTTGCTAGGAGAAGGAAGGTCGTCTCTTAGCGACCATGTGCCACCCTCTGTTGCCATGGAAGTGTCACCCCAGTAACTCGATTGTTCCTGGTTACTTGGGTTACCATCTTTGCGCTGGGCTGGGGCCCATACTTTGTGCCTAGGGAAAGGGTTCCCTAGCAACTAGACTGCCCCTCTTTGCTAGGGAGGCACTTCCCTAGCAACCATGGCCTGCCCCTTCCTGCCACAGACTTGCTTTTCATTGCCATGTAAATGGAACCCCCTAGACTGGCCTTTGTTGCTAGAAGCCAGCACACACACACACCCCCAACCATGGGAGGTACTGGCAGCCTGAACCTTCTAAGGAAATAGCATCCCTGACCCCGCTGCCCTCTAGCTGAGGGGACACCACTCCTAGCCACTGCAGGTCGCTTTTCTACCGTTACCAAGGACGTACCCTGGTAAGGATGGATTGACCTGGTTAGCAGTGCTACATCTCCGTCCCACCCGGTTCTTAGTTGCTAGGTGGGTCACACTGCCACTAACTAGCGGCGTCTTGTTGCTAAGGAAGTGTTGCCTCTATGTTGCTAGGGAAATGACGCTCCCAGCAACTGGGAATGGATTGCATCACTGTTCCAGGCAACCAGGGGTGGCCTTCTGCCTGGGGCTAGGGCTGGGGGGAGCAGCCCATCGATGTAAACTATGAATTCCTCCTTGCTCAGATTGGGCCATCCCCTAGTAGTCACGGACAGCCATTCCATTAAGGGGGAAGCGGCACCCCACACGAATTTCAGCCGCTGCCCTAGTAACCATGGGTGGACCTCCAGTTACTAGAGAGGGTGTCTCCCAGAAAAGGTCAAGCAGGAATTGAAGGTTTTTCTAAATCTGCTGGGCCCCACTCTTAATAGATGGTTTCGGTCCCATTAACAGAAGCCACCAGCGGTTCCGGTAGGTGCAGGATGTTCGCCACTGCTGGGGGTGTTGGCAGCAGGGACCCAGGAGCCACCGTGTTGCTGGAGATGACACATCTTAAACAATCATAGGGACCAGGTGCCAGGAAAGGCCTTTCTAGAAGCGTTTCTAAACATCCTAGGCCTTGCTAAGGAATGCCCTTTCCCTAGCAACAGAGAAGTCAAGGAGTCACGTGGGTCCAGAACATCTTCCTAGCAACCGCAGACCTCCTCGTTTTTAGGGATGCTCCTTCCCTGGCAACCACAGTGTCTTGACTATTCAGAAGGGACCACACTTGGGGGCTTCTCGGAAGGTAGTGAGCTTGGTTGCTAAGGAAGCACCTTTCCCTAGCCTCTGAGACCAGCGAAGGGCCAGGTTGCTAAGGACTCGTAGCTTAGCAACTGTAGCCCCCACAGACCTTTCATTGCTGCTGCAGCCCCGTTACCAAGAGGAGGAGGACCCCACTGTCGGTGAACTGCGCCCCCCACCCGTCTTCCTCCCCAAAAAGGCTCCTCCTGGGCTACCCTCCCCTGTTGCCCTAGCAAACGTGGCAGCCAGAGCTCTTGCCTGGCCGTGATCCCCTCCTGAGCGTCCGGGGCTGGGACAGGAGCCAGCGTCGGGAGAGGGCCTGGCTGAGCTGCATGTCTGTCCCCCACCCTCACCCTCCACCCCCCCCCCAGTCCGGAGAAGGCGGCTTCCCTGGAGTACGACTATGAGACCATCCGCAACATCGACTGCTACGGCACTGACTTCTGCGTGCGGGTGCGGGATGGCATGCGGTACTGGAACATGACGGTGCAGTGGTGGCTGGCGCAGTATATCTACAAGAGCGCGCCCACCCGCTCCTATGTCTTCAGGTGAGCCAGCCTGCCCTGGGCAAGCACGCGACTACACCTCCCGGTAGCCTCTCGGGCTGCCCGCTGGCCCCGCGGCCGGGCCTCCACCCGAGGATCATGGGAGTTGTAGTTTCTTGAGGCTCTTGCCGAGCCATGGGTTCGCCGTGCTCTTGGGTAGATCGTTACCCCTCCTACCCCGGGCCTCAGTTTCCACCTCTGTAAAGTCAGCCTTCTTCGACAGAAGCAGTGTACTGAATCCTATGGACTCTGGCCAGACTTTCAGGAATCTTGGCCCTGCCCAGCTACGGAGAAACCTTAATGAGTTAGCTAACCCGTGTTTCCTCAACTCTTGAATGGGGGTAATGCTGTTACCTGCTGCATAGATTGATGTGAGGACGAAGCAAGATAACGTGTGACGTGTCCTCACTGTGGGGCCCGCCAGGTGAGTGGTCACTGTATGTTAGCTTTTTTCCCACCACTTCTCTGGTATTTCTCGAGTGGAAGCTTTGTGCCAGGCATTGTGATGTGTGCAGCCTTAGGATGTAGGACTTACTATTCTCATTTGTTTTAAGATTTTATTTATTTGACAGAGAGAGAGAGAGAGCGAGAGCAGGAACACAAGCAGGGGGAGTGGGAGAGGGAGAAGCAGGGAGCCCGATGCAGGGCTCGATCCCAGGACCCTGGGACCATGACCTGAGCCGAAGGCAGATGCTTAATAACGACTGAGCCACCCAGGGGCCCTTTACTATCCTCCTTTTAAAGACAAGGAGATGGAGGCTCAGAGTGGTTAGGTAACCTGCCGAGTGTCCTTCAGCCTTCCCAGAGCCAGCAGATGAGGTCAGGATGCAGCTGACACATTCTCATCATGAAGCCGTTCCTGATGGCCACTCGGGAGCCAGACTTACCTGGGTGCCAGGTCGGGCCTGGCGCAGAGTGGTTGTGGGGATGAGAAAGTGCAGAGGTGAAGCGTCATGCCGAGGTGGTGGCTGTGGGTGGCAGAGGGCACAGAAGGGCCAGTCCTGGGATGGGGAGACCGGGCAGGAGGCAGTTTCAGGAGTGGGTCAGATGAGGGAGCCAGAGGGGTCTAGCGTCACTGACCCCGGGGTGACTGTCATGTTCAGCTGCGATTACTGGATAGGTCATTAGTTGGGTGATGCTGGCGCCTCAGGAGGTCGGGGTAAGAAGTGGACACTCAGCATCAGGTAGAGGTGATTCCGAAAGCTCCGGGGCCGAGCATCGGGTCAAAGCCCAGGGTGCTCCAGCGTTTACGTTAGAGGTTCTCAACTGGGGGCGATTGTGCCACACTCCTGCGGGCATTCGGCAACATCTGGAAATGTTTTTGGTCATAACTGGGAGGTGCTACTAGCATCCAGGGGTTAGAGGCCGGGGGTTAGGGGCTGGAGAGGCTCTTCCACATCCTGGGAGGCACGGCACAGCCCTCCTACAGCACAGAACGATCCAGTCCCAGATGTTGATAGTGCTGAGATTGAGAAGCCCTGGTGTGGACTAGGGACAAAGCTCATGAGCTAGGACAGTCAGGAAAGCGTTCCTTCCCAGGTGGGAGCCAGGTGAACCAAGTGTTTCAAGGCCGAGGGAGCGATCTCTTGTGTCAGATGATGTCAGGAGCTTCAGTAGACAGAGGCGTGGGGTTGGGGGGGATGGGATGAGGAAATCTCCAGCAACCTTGAGGGGAGCAGTTTGGAGGGCGGAAGTGAAAGCCAGCTGGAGCGGTTGGAGGGAGGATGGAAAGGGGGAAGGGTTGAAGGGGAGCATTGTTCTTTGGAGAGCGGTCACTGCACAGAGGAGCAGCCAGATGGCCCGCAGAGTAGGGCTCAAGCCCAGAGCTCAGGTGTGCCTGTGCGGAGTTGCGGGTGCCCAGGGCCAGTTCCTGTGTCTCTCCCTGCCCTGCTTCTCCCTGTTGGGACCATCATTGAAATGCTCCCAGCCCAGAGAATTCTTTCTCCACCACAGGTAGGAAAAAAAAGTTTGGTTCATGAACTAGCGTTAAACCAGGCTGTGATGCACGCCGCAAGTAACCCCCTAGGAAGATGACCAAAACGGAAAAAAAACTCACCTTTTTATAGACCCACAGACAAGGAAGAGCCCCCATCCCCACCCCAGGCCATAGTCCATGGCAGAACCTGCTGTGATTTCTGTGTCTTCCATGGAAATGGGGACCAGAGCCTGAATTTGTGGGTCTTCCACAGAGAGCATGTTTGGATTCGTAACAATAGGGAAACGTGGCTGGAGATTTCTGAGTCTTCGTGAATCAGAAATTATACTGATCCCCAAAAAGAAGTGGCCAGGGGCTTGGGTTTGTGGGTCTTAAGGAAAGATGTGATAAGCAGGGATTAACTGGGTTCCTGAAGAGAGAGTAGTGATTCCTGGGTCTGAGGGAGGAGGGCTGGGGTCTGGACTCCTGGGCCTGAGGGAGGAGGCTGGGGGCCTGGACTCCTGGGTCTGAGGGAGGAGGGGCTGGGGGGGCGGACTCCTGGGTCTGAGGGAGGAGGGGCTGGGGGGGCGGACTTCTGGGTCTGAGGGAGGAGGGGCTGGGGTCTGGACTCCTGAGTCTGAGGGAGGAGGGGGCTGGGGGGCTGGACTCCTGGGTCTGAGGGAGGAGGGAGCTGGGGGCCTGGACTCCTGGGTCTGAGGGAGGAGGGGGCTGGGGGGCTGGACTCCTGGGTCTGAGGGAGGAGAGAGCTGGGGGCCTGGACTCCTGGGTCTGAGGGAGCAGGGGCTGGGGTCTGGGGTCCTGGGTCTGAGGGAGGAGGAGGCTGGGGGCTGGGCTCCTGGGTCTGAGGGAGCAGGAGGGCTGGGGGCTGGGGTCCTGGGTCCTGAATCTCAGCCCCTCCCCCAGGAGCGCCTGGACCATGTTGCTGAGCGCCTACTGGCACGGCCTGCACCCTGGCTACTACCTAAGCTTCCTGACCATCCCGCTGTGCCTGGCGGCCGAGGGCCGGCTGGAGTCAGCCCTGCGGGGGCAACTCAGCCCTGGGGCCCAGAAGGCCTGGGACTGGGTGCACTGGTTCCTGAAGATGCGTGCCTATGACTACATGTGCATGGGCTTCGTGCTGCTCTCCCTGGGAGACACGCTGCGGTATTGGGCCTCCATCTACTTCTGCATCCACATCCTGGCCATGGCTGCCCTGGGGCTGGGGCTGGTTCTGGGTGGGGGCAGCCCCAGCCGGAGGAAGACAGCACCCCAGGCCACCAGCCTTGCTCCAGAAAAGCTCCGGGAGGAGTAGGGAGGAGGCGGCTGCCGCCACGACACTCCCTGGGCCCGTCAGTGCAGCCACCACGCTTTTGCCTGGGAGTCCCGGGCACCAGGCTGCTGTGTCCTTTCCCAGAAAGAGCTGAATTTGGCTGAGGGCCTGGGGAGGATTCTCATTCCTCAGCTCTGCCCCGCCGCCCCCCATGCAGCAAGGCGGGGCGGGGGGTGCCCTCCCTGCTCCCCTGCCCTGAGGGCTCAGGAGGCTGTTTTCCCTCCTGGAAAGTCAAGGTGTTGTCCAGAGAAGAAGCCCCCTTTGTCCCCGCCCCAGCGTCCAGGGATTCAGAGCTAAGCCCCCCCAGCAGGGGCCCCTGAGCCACAGGTTTCCCCGTCACATTCCCCTTTTCTGGCCCCACGGTGTGGGGCGGGAGCTGCCCGGAAGGTTCTGGGAGTGGGGAACCTCTCTGGAGGCCTTTGCCCGACGTTCACAGAACAGTGTTTCAAGCCTGGCAGGGAACATAACCCTCCCATTTCATAACGGGGAAACTGAGGCACCAAGGAGCAGGCCTCTGGACATGGTTCTTGCAGCTTCCATCGGAGCCACCTCAGTCCCAGCGCTCCTGTCACCCTCTTGTCATTCTCTGGCCTAAAATAGGGCCAGAATGTGTGAACTCCCCCAATAAAATGTTTCACGAAGACCGTCCATGTGTCTGGGGGTGATCAGCAGGTGTGGGGCTCCCGCAGCCACAAGGTGATGTGCTCCGGCATCCGGGCGTTTCGGTTCCCAGGAGAGCTTCCGGAGCAGCCGCCCTGAGCCACCTGCTGCCAGGTGTGGACCTGCCCAGGTCCCTTCCTTACCTGGGGCAGTCCCCGCCCAGCTGGCCCCTAGAGACGGAAACAGTTTCACCTGGGGCCATGGACGAGCGCCTGACGTGGGAACCGGAGGCCTGGGGCTCCTCTGGAGGGTGGCCGGCACCCCAGGAGGCCAGGGCAGGTGGGGCAGTGGGGGGCAGTGTCCAGCCCCTCGGGCTGGTGGGAAGCCCGAGGGAGGCGGGGAAGGGAGGACTGGACTCCAGGGTCCAGAGGGCAGAAGGGGGAGGGATTCTGGTTCCTGGCTTTTTGAGGGAGAAGGGAGCCAGGGGCTGGGACTCCTGCGTCCTGGGGAGGAATCTAGGGGTCCAGGCTCCAGTCTTAGGGGAGGGGGCCGGGGTGAAAACTTCCTGAATGAGAGAGAAAAGGAAGCTGAAGAGTGGGCTCCTCAGTCCTGAGGTAGGAGGGGCCTAGAGAAGGAAAGATGTGATAAGCAGGGATTAACTGGGTTCCTGAAGAGAGAGTAGTGATTCCTGGGTCTGAGGGAGGAGGGCTGGGGTCTGGACTCCTGGGCCTGAGGGAGGAGGCTGGGGGCCTGGACTCCTGGGTCTGAGGGAGGAGGGGCTGGGGGGGCGGACTCCCGGGTCTGAGGGAGGAGGGGCTGGGGGCCGGGACTCCCGGGTCTGAGGGAGGAGGGGCTGGGGCCGGGACTCCCGGGTCTGAGGGAGGAGGGGGCTGGGGGCCGGGACTCCCGGGTCTGAGGGAGGAGGGGGCTGGGGGCCGGGACTCCCGGGCCCTCCTAGCCGCTGCTGTCCTGCCCCAGGCCCGTCGCTCTCCTCTGTGCTCAATGAGCTCCCCAGTGCTGCTACCCTTCGGTACCGAGGTCCTGGGGTTCTGCCGTGGGGGGCATCGGAGGAGGAGGAAGAAGATGGAGAGAGGAACATCCAGGCCATTGCAGAAGCCACCCAAGAGGAGCTGGAGGAGCCCCTCCCCTCCCGGGAGCTGCCCTGGCCCATGCAGGCCCGCCGGGCATACAGGTGAGCTCATCTCCCGCCTCCCAGCCAGGTGAGGACCATAGTCTGGCTTGTTGGCGCTGTGTCTGCTTCTCACTCGGCTGTCTCTGCTTCTCTGGCTTCTTTCCCCCTGCCTGTGTCTCTGCTTTCTCTGACTCCAAAGAGTCCTGTCTCCCTGACTCCAGGACTCTTCCCTCGCCCAGGTTCATGTTCTCTGTCTACTCTGGCGATTTCTCCCCATGCCTGAAATCTGTTCTTCGTGTTTTCCTCTCTGCGTCTCTGCCTCTTCCATCTTTCCCTTCCCGGTCTACCCGATTTGCAGGGCTGGTGAACAATGAACGTGCTGGGCTGCGTGGTCAATAATTACAGGTGTCCCCCGCTAGCCGAAGGTCGGCGTCCTATCAAACCTTTCGTAAAGCAAAGAGTCATGTGGGTCTTTCCTAAAAACAAAGCACTGCACTGGAACTTTGGGCAAGTGTGGGATTACCTGTGTTATGCATTTGTACCTGAGAACAGCAGAACGTGAGAAGCAAGTGCAAGGCCCTTCTGAGGCTGGGGTCGTGTGTCTTGAAATTGTTCTCCAAACCCCATCATTTTGGGGTTTGAGAGTGGTTTTGTCACACAGGCATGCTTGATTAAATCTTTGGCCACTGGTGATGGAATTCAGCCTCCAGCCCCGCTCCTCCCCTCCCCCTGGCAACCAGCCCGCACTCTTAGTTGGGGTCCAAAAGTCACCTCACTTATGTTACAAGACACCTTTATCTCATCACTTAGGGCATCCCAAGGGTTTTTAAACCTCTGTGCCAGGAAGAGGGACAAAAACCAGATATATATATATTAGGAATCACAAGATCACACCTTCTTTCCTTTTTTACTTTTCCTTTATGATATTTGCCTACAGAAAAGTGTACCAAACATTGTGTATACACTGAGAGATTCCCATCGCGAGATCCCAGACAAATTCCACATAGGGCAAGAGACCGCTCTGTGGGACCCAGAAGCACCCCACATGCCCCATATCCCAGACGTCTATGAATCTCTTTTTAAGATTTTTTAAGTTTATCTATTTGACAGAGAGAGACACAGCGAGAGAGGGAACACAAGCAGGGGGAGGAGCAGAGGGAGAAGCAGGCCTCCCGCGGAGCAGGGAGCCTGATGCGGGGCTTGATCCCAGGACCCTGGGACCATGACCTGAGCTGACGGCAGATGCCCAACGACTGAGCCACCCGGGCGCCCCTGACGATCTCTTCCTTGCTTTCCTGTAGAGCTTTGCCACCTTCGAGTGCATCCCTAAAGAGCAGGGTGTGCGTTTGCTCTGGAGCTCTGGACACGGATCCCTGCAGTCTCGATATCCTGCCTGGCTTTTTATGCATTCGCTGTGTCTCTTCCTGTTGCTGTGGAGTCATTCCAAGTTACCGATATCCTGCAATTTACTTCCTGGTCCCACTGTCGTCTTGTTTCTACATTTGGGTGGTGTCCAGTTGGAGCGGCTGGGCCCTTCCTATTCTGTCTCTGAATCTGTTTCCCTACCAGGCAGAGCCATGCCAGGGACCAGGTGGCTCAGGGATCGGGTTCCAGATCCGCACAGTGGGCCCTGCGGCTTCGGCGGTCCAAGGAGAAGATGAAGGCAGGCCTGCGCACCTTGCAACCCTGGGCGTGGACGCTGAAGAGAATTGGGGGTGCGGTGGGGTTGAGGCTGGTGTCTTGGGGCGGGCCCCACTCCCGGGTCTGAGGGAGGAGGGTCTGGGGGGGTCTGGCCTTCCGGATCTGAGGGAGGAGGGGCTGGGGCCTGGACTCCCAGGTCTGAGGGAGGAGGGGCTGGGGGCCTGTACTGGATCTGAGGGAGGAGGGCTGGGGGTCTGTAGTCCTGGGTCTGAGGGAGGAGGGGCTGGGGGAGGAGGGCTGGGGGTCTGTAGTCCTGGATCTGAGGGAGGAAGGGCTGGGGGGTCTGGACTCCTGGATCTGAGGGAGGAGGGGCTGGGATCTGGACTCCTGGGTCTGAGGGAGTAAGGGCTGGGGGGTCTGGACTCCTGGGTCTGAGGGAGGAGGGGCTGGGGTCTGGACTCCTGGGTCTGAGGGAGGAGGGGGCTGCGGGTCCGGACTCCTGGATCTGAGGGCGGAGGGGCTGGGGGTCCGGACTCCTGGGTCTGAGGGAGGAGGGGCTGGGGGTCCAGACTCCTGGGTCTGAGGGCCGCGGGACTCCGGACTCAGAAAGGAGCCCCAGGCCTCTGTGGCGCCCCCTGCAGGCCAGTTTGGCGCCGGCACTGAGTCCTACTTCTCCCTGCTGCGCTTCCTGCTGCTTCTCAACGTGCTGGCGTCAGTACTTAAGGCCTGCATGACGCTGCTGCCCACCTGGCTGGAAGGGGCTCCCCCGGGTCCCCCTGGCCCTGACATCTCCTCATCCTGCGGCTTCTACAACCCCAACCCCCAAGGCCTGGTCACCTTCCCCACCCATCTCTTCAACCTGCTCTCTGGAGAGGTGCGTCCCTGGGAGACCCCCTCCTCTGAACCTCAGTGCCCCCGATTCTTTTTTTTTTAATGTTTTATTTATTCATGAAAGTCAGAGAGAGAGGCAGAGGCAGAGGGAGAAGCAGGCTTCCCGCCGAGCAGGGAGCCCGATGTGGGGCTCGATCCCAGGACCCTGGGATCATGACCTGAGCTGAAGGCAGACGCTTAACCATCTGAGCCACCCAGGCGCCCTGCCCCTCGATTCTGATTGCCCAACCACACGGTGCACTCTCCCTTTGCAGGGTTTTCTAGAATGGTCTCCTCTCTTCTATGGGTTCTACCCGCCCCGCCCGCACCTGGCAGTCACCTACCTGTGCTCCGTCTTTGTCATTGGTCTCCTGTACCTGCTGCTCATCCTCCATCGGTCAGTAACCCTGGGCCCCCTGGGGGCGTAGGGAGGGACTTGTGGTGGGAGAAGACCCCTCCCCAGGAATCCAGAGTCTTGCTCTGTGACCCCTTTCTCTCAGTTGGAGTTGAAATCAGATTTAAAAATGCTTCATACGTGCTAAAGACCAGTGATTAAGATGGGCAGTTTCTCCTTCCTGTGGCTTAGAGGGTAGGAGGGGAAGGTATGATATTAGCCAAACAAAGTGACTGCATCTTTTCTGGAGGGGAGAGTGCTCCATAGGAAACACACAGGGGCGATTCGTTCATTCCCGCGACAAACACGTATTAAGCCCCTACTATGTGTGGGCCACTGTTCCAG